AGTGTCTGGGAAGTCTCATGCTCAGCCTAAGCCACCCTAGAATAGGTGCTCCCTCCATCTTCCCAAGGGGGCTCCAGACAGCCACGCACTGAGGGCTCTGCTCTGGTGAGAGGGGCACACTGGCCTCGTGTCCACCTCGTGCCAAGCTGGAAGAGGACAGGATGATGATGGCCCTGACATGCTTCCCCTTGCTAGCATCTTCTTTTATTTTGAGACGTGGTCTCACTCCATCGCCCAGGCTAGAGTGTAATGGTACAGTCATAGCTCACTGCAGACTCAATCTCCTGGCCTCAAGTGATCCTCCCACCTCCACCTCAGTAGTTGGGATGACAGTAGCACACCACCACACCTGGCTGAGTTGCTTTTGGCTTTTTTTTTTTTTGAGTTGGAGTCTCACTCTGTCACCCAGACTGGAGTACAGTGGCCGCTCCCAGCCACTGTAGCCTTCTGCCTCAGCCTTCCATTTTTTTTTTTTTTTTGAGTTGAAGTATCACTCTGTTGCCCAGGCTAGAGTGTAGTGGCAAGTTCATGGCCACTGCAGCCTCGACCTGCAGGGCTCTCAGATGATCCTTTGGCCTCAGCCTTTCAAGTAGCTGGAACCACAGGCACGAGCCACCACACCTGGCTAATTTTTTTATTTATTGTAGAGATGAGGTCTTGCCAAGTTGCCCAGGCTGTCTGGAACCCCTGAGCTCAGGCAATCTTCTTGCCTCTGCCTTCCAAAGTGCTGGGATTTATAGGCATGAGCCACCATTCCCAGCTTGTTTTTTGTTTTGTAGGAATGAGGTCTCACTATGTTTCCCAGGCTGATCTCAAACTCCTAGACTCAAGTGATCCTCCTGCCTCAGCCTCCCAAGTAGCTGGGACCGTAGGCACATGCCACCACACCTGGCTGAGTTTTGTGGGTTTTTTTTTAGATTGAAAAATATAGTTTATTTAGAAAGCAAATTAGAGAAGAAGTAGAAAGAGAGAGAGAAGATTCACCTCCCCAAGGTAGGGGAGGGGGCCAAAGCTAAGAAAACATGGCGGACACAGCTCAAAGAGCACATGGTCAAACCATAGCTTAGCAGAGGCAATGGCCAGTTTTTGTTTTTTGTTTTGTAGAGACTAGGTCTCATGATATTGCCCAGGCTGGTCTTGAACTCAGGCTCAGGCAATCCTCCCACCTCAGCCTACCAAGTGAGTGGGACTTTAGGCATGAGCTACTACACCTGGCTGAGTTTTTATTTTGTAGAGATAGGGTCTTGCTATGTTGCTCAGGTTAGCCTCAAATTCATGGCCTCAAGTGACCCTCCCACCTTGGCCTCCCAAAGTGTTGGGATTACAAGCATGAGCCACTGGGTCCGGCCACCTAGCATCTTCTTGCTGGAGCTGGCTCTCTACCCCCAGCTCTCAGAGAGCCAAGGAGACATGAGAAAGTCAGGGAGGAGGTGGATGTGGGTGTCGTGACCCAGTATAGGCCCAGAGTTACAGTCCAGTGGGGGGAGCAGTTTCTCCAGATGGAGCCCCAGAATTCCACGGTTCCCAAAAATCTAAGGGCCTTCGTGATTGCCGTGGGCATCTCGGTCACTCCCCCTGCTTCCACAGTGCTGGACACTCCTCTTAGCATGGTCTATTCCATGTCTGCCTCCCCCTCCAGACTGTGAGTGCCCAGAGGCAGGCACCAGGTACCACCCAGTGGCATCCCAGCATCCCACACTGGACGGGCAGGTACCAGGAGGAGGGAGAGACGGTGGATCACAGATGATGACAGAAAATTGACTTCACAGGTCTGATTTAACAATTTGAACTGGAATACCATGCTTTGTGTCTCCTGGTGACCCCTAAGATGGTGGGGACTGTGGGAAGAGGGAGGCCAGGTAAAGGGGGGTCCCCATCCTCCCGGGCAGCCTATCTCTGGCCAGGGTTGTTCTGCACTGTTGTCTTTTCTCTTCAGCCCCTCCCCCCTTGTTCTCTCCACCTTGGTGTGGTGGGATGGGGGAGGGAGGGGCTTTTGCCACTGGGTCTACTGCCCAGGAAATAAGGCCTGAAGAGGCTATTACAGGGAATGAGGACCAGACGATGTCGGGCCTCAGGACTGACCTTCCCCACCCAGCACAGGCCTGTCCTGCCTCCCTCCCGGTACCCCTTTCCTGACCCCTGAGCTGCCCTTGGGGTACTGCCTGACCCAGGGTCACCTGGGCACGTTCCTCCCCAGCAGACCCACATCCCACCAGTCACCAAGGATTGGCCATTCTGCTACCAAGAAGGCTCCAGAATCTCTCCATTCTACCCCCCACTTCCTTGTCATGTACCCCCAAGTCTCACCCCTCCTTGCCTTTTGCCAGAGATGCCTAAAAATACTAACTACTCCTGACCAGCCTGGGCAACATAGTGAGACCTAATTTCTACAAAAAAAAAAAAAAAAAAATTAGCTGGGCGTGGTGGCATGTGCCTGTTTTTCCAGCTACTTGGGAGGATGTGATGAGAGGATTGCCTGAGCCCAGGAGGTCGGGGCTCCAGTGAGCTGTGATCGTGCCACTGCACTCCAGTCTGGGTGACCCAGTGGGACCCCTACTCACAAACCAACCACTAACCATCTCTGCTCTAATCGCTCCAGTGATGCTCATCACCTTTGGAACAAAAGCCACAGCCCAGCCTGGTAGCAAGACCACACAAGGTCTCCTGCTTATCGCCTCCCTTGCCTCTTCCCGTCCCCAAGCCCAGCACACTGCCCCGGCTCCTGGACAGCCCTGGGTGTTCAGGCCTTGGTGCATTTGCTCTGGCAGCTTTCCTTTTCCATCTCCAGCACCCACCTTCACTGTCACTTCTCTGAAGCGTCCCCAACTCTCATGTCAGTCTGCCTCTCCCTCCTCTGCCATCTTGAAGCACCTGCACCCACCTTTAGGAAGCCTGTTACTACCCTGGAACAAACTTGCCTGCATGTGGAGTTATTTTGCCAGCTCTTTCCTACAGGCAGATGTGACGCCTTTTTTTTTTTTGAGTTGGGGTCTGACTCTGTTGCCCAGGGTGGAGTACAGTGGCATGATCATGGCTACTGCAGGTAGACTGCTGGGCTCAGGTGATCCTTCTGCCTCAGCCTCCTGAGTAGCTGGGACTATAAACATGTGCCACCACACCCAGCTATTTTTTTTTTTTTTTTTGGAGTAGGAGTCTCACTCTGTTGCCCAGGCTGGAGTACAGTGGCACACTCATGGCCACCACAGCCTCGACCTGCTGGCCTCAGGCCTCAGCCTTCTAAGTAGCTGGGATTACAAGCACATACCACCACACCTGGCTAATTTTTTGATTTATTGGAGAGACAAAGTCTCGTCAAGTTGCCCAGGCTGGTCTCAAACCCCTGAACTCAGGCAATCCTCTTGCCTCTGCCTCCCAAAGTGCTGCGATTATAGGCGAGAGCCACTGTGCCCAGCTGATATGACACCTTTTAAAAGCGTGAATCCAGTTGGGCTCGGTGGCTCAGCCTGTAATCCTACACTTTGGGTGGCTGAGGTGAGTGAACTGCCTGAGCCCGCGGGTTCGAGACCATCCTGGGCAACTTGGCGAGACCTCATCTCTACAAAAAATCAGCCGGGCATGGTAGCGCATGCCTGTAATTCCGGCTACTCGGAAGGCTGAGGCGGAAGGATCACCAGAACCCAGCAGGTTGAGGCTGCAGTGGCCGGGAGTGGCCACTGCACTCCAGTCTGGGCAACAGAGTGAGACTCCGACTCAAAATAAATAAGTAAATAAAAGCGTGAATGCCCCAAACAGCGACTTGTACCTAATAGGTTGTCCATAAATATCTGACGAATTAATGAGTGACTTTTGAACCCAGACACACACACTTACACAAGCCCTAGAAACATCCACCAGTCAGATATTCTCTTGCTCAGAGTCACTCCTCAGTGTCCAGCCCTAAATGCTTGGCTCCCCACCACCAGAGATCCCGAGGCCTTTGCTGATGCTGGGACCCCTGCCTGGAATGTTCCTTCTCCCCTCTGCCATGCTCCAAGGCTCAGCCCCCTCCTTCAGGAGGCCTTTCCTGGTACCCCCCAGGTAGAGCGGCCTTTTTGCCTTTGTGCCCTGGGGCTTGTCCCTGTGGCACCCACGACAGCTGCTCTTTACACATCTGCCTCAGCCCAAAAGACAGATTTACTCTTGGGGCGAGTGCAGAGCCGGGAGCCTGGTTCATTTGTCTCCAACCCTTTGCACGGTTAGGAAGCCTGGGTTGTGCGGACACACTGGGTGCCCCATGAATGTCTCCAAAAGCACAAGCAGCCCCCCAGAGGGTGAAGCGTAGCCCCTGGCAAAGCCACCAAGCTGGGCTGCAGGGTAGGTGTCCAGCGGCCCCCCAGGAACCAAGGCTGTCCCGCCCATCCCACCTCCCTACACTAGGCCTGCGAGTGAGTCTGTTTCCCCTGCCAGCCGGCAGCCCGAGCTGTTCCTGTTTTCCCTGTGGCCGCCATGTGTCTGTCAGCTAGCATCACCCTCAATGAGGCATTCACCCATTTCCCCCAGAAATCTGCCTTGCAGCCAGCTGCCCCTCCAGTGCTCAAAGACAAACCTCTGCAAAGTCACCCCAGTGAGGGAGAAGCAGAAATCCTGGCCGGGAGTCCAGCGGCCCAAGGAAGAGGAGCCTCCCCATCCCTCCGTGGGAGAGCTGTGACCCTGCTGATGCTGGCCTTCAGAGGCCAGAGATCAGGGCAGGCGCCCCAAAGAGAGGCCTGTCTCAAAGACTGTCTTGTCCAGGGGCTCCGGACTGGAGGAATGCTGCTTAGGATCCTGATCCCAAGAGACCCCAGAGGGGGAGCCCCCAGAACCAAAGACTTCCAGAGGAGGCCTGACGACCCGCGTATCCTGGGACATCCCAGAGGATCTGGACCCTCGTCCAGATGCAAAGCTGAACCCAATGACATTGGGGGCACCTCAGACCCTAAGGCCCCACCAAGGACGCCCCAGACTCAAAAGGCCATGGACCCAGAGCCCCTTCCCTGGGGAGCAGTGCTCTCCACACTGACCTGGCCCCGAGGGGGTCCTCCCCAGGCTGAGCTGCCGAAGCCGCCTCTGGTGAGCCCGCCCCCCGCAGTGCACCTGGGCCTGGGCCGCGGAGTTCAGCTGGATGTTACAGACGTCACAGAGCGTGTACGACGGCCGCTTCCTTTCCCGCTTGGGCTTAGGTGGTTCTGGGGGCCGAGGGGCACACTCAGCAGCTCCAGGAATGGGGGGCTCCTTTTCAGCCGGGGGGGATGGGCTCAGGGGCCGCTTCATACCTGAGCAGGTAGAGAGATGAGTCAGTGAAGACTGCATGGCTGGGATACACAGGAGGAACAGGGAAGTTCACGACCTGGAGATACCCGAGCTGTACCCAGTTGAAGCTCCCCAGCTTTTGGGGAACTCCCCATTCCCAAGGATGGCACAAGGGGGCATGATGGGGTCTAGTTCAAGGAAAGCAGCATTCGGAGATGGGATTATCTGGAAGTGTGTCAGGCATGTCTATGTGCTGGGAGGCCAGGACACTGGGGAGACTTGAGTCTTGGCAGCAAGGTGGCCACCAAGGGGGAGGCAGCAGAAAGGCCACTGGAGTCGCACTTGGGAAGCCTGAGTCCTGTCCTCAGCTCTGCAGCATACACTGAGAGTCCTGTGACAGGCAGACATGTGGAGCTGACTGCCGACTCTGCAGCCGCTGGCAGGAACCCAATTTTCCTGTGTCCTGCGCCCAGCAGGGTGACATTCATAAACGGTGACAGTGCATGAAGCCGTCCCAGCCCCTGACCCATGTGGCGCCAAATGCCCCGATGTCTTGGCCACTGAGGCTGAGACAACAGCTGGCAGTTTTGGTAGAGACCTGGGCCCTGCTGCCTGGGTGTGCTGAACACACACACACACACACACACACACACACACGCACGCACGCACACACACACACACGCCCTGGACCCTCACATCACCCCTGGGGACCCCACATCTTCCATAGATAGTTTTTTCTTTCCAGCTCACTTCTCTCGAACTTTCTCTGTCTGACTCATCTGCCTCTAGCCATTTCTATCCTGGGGCTTCTCGACTCCCTTTCTCAGACTGAACTGTGTTCATGTCTACTTTCTTCCTGAATCTGTGTGTGTGCTTCTGGCCTCTGCTTTAGATGGGGGGTTCCTGAGAGCAGGGTCTGTGTCTCGCCGTTCAACTGGGCATCCCCAAGGCTAGAGCCTGGGCGAGGCATGACTGAGCCCATCTGTCGTGTTCCATGCTGGATTGTGACTCCCCAAATTCATATGAAGGAGGACCCCCCGCCAACCAGAAGTATCAGGCCAGGTGTGGTGACTCATACCTATAATCCCAGCACTTTGGGAGGCTGAGGTGAGAGGATTGCCTGAG